TTAAATTCCAGTGAAATATATTTATGTTTGTGGTTGTAATGTGACAAAATATGGAAAAGTTCAAGGGGTATGAATACTTTTGCAAACCACTGTAACTGGTTCATCCAGGTATGTGGCTCGGTCTCTGTCGGGGACCTCAGAGAGCGTCAACCACAAATGTCTCTGCGCCACCACGGTTGAAGTCATCCCTCTGCCCAGGGAGGGCGCTGCACTGCAGGATGCACGGAGGACGCAGTCCGCGGTGAGTCTGATCTCATTTAAGAGATGCAACAGAGGACTCTCGGGCGGTACCTGGGCTCCGAGCTCYGCCAGAGCCATAGCCTGGTATGTCTGGAGCATGCTGATGGAGCTCAGGCCATGAGCGGTGGTGGCCTGAGCTTTGTAGATTTTTTCCAGCTGCGCAGCAGAAAAACTATACGGCTTGGAAGGAAGCGTGGTGGGCCCGCTCACTCCATGGTTGTGAGACGGGGCCAAATACGCGGCTAGGGATGGCTCCATAGGAGGGATGTTCACTAGTCCAGCTTTTTCAGCTCCTTCCAGATCCAAATACGGTCCATAACCAGGTACTGTGACGCGGGTGGACAGAGGTTTGCTCCAGCAGGATGTCAGCTCCGAGGCGAAGTCTGGGAACATGGGAAGACGGTTCTTCACCGCGGTCGGTTCAGTGGGGAGAAAAAAACCCTGCGAACCGCGACAGTTTTTGTGCAGGAGGGGGGGTAGGCCACTCCACCTCCAGTTTCTGAGCCGCACGACAACACAAGGAGAGAAAAGGCGTGTCACTTTCTCCAAGAACTTAACCCATCTCTCCAGGATTGAGCGTCAAAGTTGGCGACAAAACGCACATGCTTGGGGCTCCGCCAACGCCCTACGAGCGTGGACGATTCCCAAACAGAGCAGGCAAGCCTCGTGCTGGTCCTTTTCGTGAAGCGAGAAGCCGCACCCCTGGGGACAGGGGCGAACTGAAGACTTCTGCTTCTTCTTGAGTAATTTTGTGCTCATCCCAAACCACAAAATCCTCTCTTTTTGTCGAGGTAAGAAAGGTTGCTCAAAGTTAGCGCTCAGCGGGCAGACACAGTTACCAGTAGGCAGCTGTAGCTAACACCAACAAAAGCCGTTAAACTAATTTCGAGAATCTTCGAACAAACAAAGCTAATTAGCAGCAGCTAACTAGCGAGGTTGAAAGAGGTGTTCTAGCGAGGTGAAGAGCATTAGAACTGAGAAGTGACTGTGATGGCGACAGTATATATGTGTAGGCGGAGCCTTACATCTGTTGTCATCACATCACCTGCCTAAAGGCGTGATTAGAGGTGGCTTCAGCCAGGACACACGGGCATGGTTTCCCGTACATGATGTGTTGTACCGAGTGAATTGACTGAAAGTGAACTAATAAATACTTGGATTCTTAATTCTTGTGCGCCAACTTAAGCTCACCTGCTGTGAACCTAGTGTGTGTTTTACATTTCTTTTATTGTCTTCGCCTATTCTTGCCTTATTGTACAGCACTTTGGTTGCCCATGTGATTTTTAAAATGTGCTCTATAAATAAAGTTGATTGATTGATTGATTGATTAAGAAAAACATTCTATTACTCCATTCTCGTTTTACACGTTGTGGAAAATCAGCTGCTGGGAACGTCACGAGGAAAAGTGAAATTTAAAAAAAGATTGAAAAACAGTGAGGGACTCTGATCCTTCAAAGTAAATCTCACCGTTGCTCATTTCCTTTCTGAACAGAAAAGTAAAAGCGGATTATTCTCCATCACAGATTTGTTGTTTTATCTCGACTGTTCACAGCTGAAGCTGATGGTGGCAGTGTTGGTGTTTAGAAGTATTCCAAATATTTACCTTGTATAGTTTAGGTCTGACGGGAGTGAAGTTGTCTGGTACGTGCTTCTTGATCTCTTCCGGTTGTCCTCCCAGAACCTCCCAGAATCCTGGCGGCTCCTGGTTCTGCATGAGGGTCACGATCTCTGCTTTCCCCTTCCGTTCATTCTTATTGATCTTTTCAGCGAATAACCTGGAGGACGACAGCCATTTAAACTTGGTTAAAATCAGTTTCTGGGTTTGTTTGGTTTTTTTTCTGAACATGTTGTTATGATGAATGTAACTCAGCTCCTGCGTTACCTGGCCTTCGTCGTGCCACCCAGAGTAGCGTTGGCTCCTCTCCAGATGAAAATTTCCAGCCCCGTGTCCAACAAGAACACATAGCTGCCAGATATAGACAAGATATTTAGACATAATGAGATGTCCGATTGGAGAAAAAAAAGTAGTGAAAGTGTTGGGATTTTAGGAAGCAACAACCGACTCAAACGAGGGAAAACATATAGAACAAGTGGTTAGGTGATAACTGAGGTTTATGGAGGTGTTTAGTGTTTGAAAGGTAGTGAAAGGAGCAGGACGTGGGTCAGAGTTACCGAGGATCGAGGGAGAAGGCCTTCGCTGGCACAGACTCCAGTTTGATGTTTTTCTTCCCATAAACTCTGTATAATCTGTAAACCAGAGGAATAAAACTTGATGACAATGTTTTTGCTTGTTTTTTTACACTGAACTCCACGTCTGAATATTAAAGGCTGAAACAAATAGAAACTAACTCAACTGTGACTCATAAATCAGGTTGAACTATTTAAAAAGGTCAAGTTCAGGTCAGATTTGATTAGATTTTCTTAATAAAAACTGAAAAAAAGACGAAACTTCCACCTACCTGGCAGGATAATTTGTGTCCTCTACAGTGTAAAAGCCACTGGCTGTTCCTCCCTCGATGTAGGAGATGTCGTGGTTGAACACCTGCACAGATGAGAGACGTCCATCAGAAGCGCGCGGCGCCTGTTTTCACAGACGTGGGAAAAAAAATCAGAAATATTTCTACATACGACGCTGAACTCGTCGCTCTCGTCTCCCATCTCCTCTCGAATCGTCCTGCACTCTGCTCCCAAGAAGTTTCTCAGGTTGACGGCGTGAATGGCGGAGCCCGCCTTCTTGTCCAGTGTGGCTTCCTGACCGATCCAGTAGAAGATCTGCCAGTTTAACGCCCCGTTGTCGTCCAGGAAGGTCTGCAAATACACAGATGATTATTGCTGAGGCTTTCAAAATAATCTTAAGAAACGTCAGATTCTTCTCTACAGTCTGTGTTGTTAGCTGTTGTAGCGCTGCTCTGTTCACATTCAGACGTTACCCTTTGACATCACTTCCTGTTACTTTACAGGCAAATATCTCAACAACTGTTCATCTCAGCTACATGAAATTTCTTTTGCAATATTTTGTCAATGTCCTCTTTCTAAAAATGCATTCATATGTATAACAAAAATTTGACGTCACAGGCACTTTAAATCTAAAATGACGGCAGGTTGAAAGTTGTACCTTCAGGATGATGTAACAGTCGGCCTCATAGAACTTTCCGTGGAAAGTTTCGTCCACCTGTACGGGAACAAAGTTTTCTATCTGCCACACAGATACACCTGGAATCTGCACGAGGCAAAAAAAAAAMCCCACAACATCCACATGTTTAATCTTTATGTTTAGTTAGGTCGCCCAAAAATGTGAAGAAGAAAAAAAGTCAGTGAGAGAGAGAGAAAGAGAAGATTTTGTAGCTGATCCAGAATCCTTACTTGTCCCACATCTTCCAGAAAGAATTCTGAGTAATCCAGCTGAGGTTTTTCCAGACTCTTGTCCCAGCGGCGCACTTTTAAATCACCATATTTCAAGTCCCCATTTTCCTGCAAAAGTCACAGATTTCCTAACTTATTCACCTTCACACAATAACATTTCCATCTTCCCATAATCCCAACTTTTTTCATAAATAAAAAAAAAAGAATTGAAGACCATGCTAATAAACACAGATCACAGTAAAACAACTTCAGTGGTGCCATAAGTTTAATTTGTTAATACAGAGCTCATAGATCAAATTACTCATGTCGAATTTTCCTCACAGAAATGAATTGAAATGCCATTAATTCATTCAGGACACCAGAACATTGCTGCCGCTGCGAGCTAACTGCTTCAAGCTAACAAGTGAGACACAGATGTTGACTGTGGTGTTCAATTGCACCAACTAGCGGTGGGGTGTCTGATACTGGCTCATAACCCAAATTTTGGCTCTCAACTCAAAGCAAAACTGCATCAGACTGCTCGTATCTCAAACAACTTGTTAGCTGGGACACTGGTAGTAAAGGTAGCACTATTTTTTCTAACACCGGTTTCATAATCAGAAGCTTTAAATCACGCTACGCCCATTTGTCAGTTCAGCCCTTCTGTCTCTTACCTCCATGTTCTTTTTCTCCTGAGCGACGTCACTCATTCCTTTCAGGACCTGTTTCGCCTGATCGTCCTGAGAACAGTCCTTCCTCCTCCTCAGCCTCATCTTCCTCGCCAGGTGATCTCTGGGGCTGGACCCTGGACAATACACACATTGATCGTCAACTGCTCAGTACGTTGTGCTAAATGAAGAAAATACTCACACACACACACACACACACACACACACACACACACACAC